ATATATATGTGTGGGTGGGGGTGTGAGTCTGTCGGTCGGTGGGTGGGTGTGTGTGTGTGTGTGTATGTATGAGAGTTGATCTAACAATTGTCTCGAAATAACTTGTTTTGTAGGCCTAAGGCCTACCCACGGCAGCAGTACACTTAATCCTACCTGCAATTGATAGACGAGCCTAAAGAGATCGTAACTACCAATAAATACTCAAGACGTTCCACAGCCGACATGATTATGACACTGCGACATTTACGGAGCGTTTCAACGACGATACGCTCCTTCAGACTGGCTATCGACGAAGCGTGCTGACATTGCGCAGGGCAGCGCTCACAACGCGGACGAATTTGTCTGCCAACAGTCACCCAGTGCGCCCATGGCTTAACCTATACTGTAACCACTTGAGAATCGGTATATCACATACCGCAGCAACTTACCTCTCATTTTTATTGTGTGTTCGTTCAGCCTACACCAAGCGTATCATCCGAATAGTGGAATCACGCGGAATATGACATTTACAAGCTGTCTGAAGTATATTTCCTGTCAAAACAATAATCAACTCGTGCATTCCTACCACATCATGGATATGCGGTCGATCTCAAGGTAACAAGTAAGCATTGGGCTTTGGTAAATGATAAACCATCAGCAAAATCAACGATGCAACATCCCGCCCCGACTCTTCGGTAGCAACTGCAATAGGTTATAGCAAGGAGGTTATAGTATGACCATCAACGTATCCATCCATGGTATGACAGTTAAGTAAAATTTTATAGTAAAAATAAATTAATAATAGTTGAATGGAGATCAGCAGGAGGGCTCAGTTGTCGTTGAATAATATACACTAACAATACGATTCGCCACGCGTCATTTTGCTCATTGTAGCTAAACGAATTATTATTACGATTACTCCTGTGGAAGTAATGCGTTCTGACCTTACAGATTGCTCGACGTTATTCCGACTTGCTCATTTCAATCGAATCGTTCTTAACTACATCTATAAATATCATTCAAGTTGAAATGAGTCGGACATGATGAAGCTGTCAGTGGCGTTGTATTGAGTCGGAGTTGCGTGGAATACCGGGTTTTATTTCTGGAAAGTACCGTAACGCGTTGTACTTAATTCAGTACTCTAACCATACAACAGCACATGCATTATAAATTTAGGTATGTTTGTAATCGCAGGACACTGGAGAAGATCTGTTTTAGTAATGGTTAAAAAATGACACACAACGAAAAAAAAAGAAAACTTTAAAATTATCGATTACGTATTCATTTGCCTATGAGTCATTAATTACGTGTTTGTTTTATATCACCATGGCAACAGTTATAGTGGCGATAGCGTATTTTCTTAAGCCATATAGGCCCTAAGGCTTAATTATAATAATAACCTCACTCATGAACTGATTTGACCACTCATCATTTCCGACTTCTTTTTTGGTGTTAAAAGTTAAAAGACGATCAGTTTAAACGTGCACAATAATTAAATAATTAAACACAATTCATGGTACATATAAATGGAATATTCCTTGTGTGTACAATTGACCAATCAGAATAGGGCCAGAAATATCACTCGTTCCACAACTTAACCCTGCCCAGGGGTCTCCAGGGGCATAGACTGGGGTGCGAGGGGTGCCGCCCACCACACCCCCCCCCCTCCCCTTCCTTCCACAAAGGCAAAAAAGTTCCGCTGGTGTAGGCCTAAGCCTAGACCTGCCTAGTACTACAATGGAAAATTTGCAGGACAGCGAGTAGAAATCGATTAGGCCAACGAGAGTACACGTACATATAAACCTATGACATGCCTACTACTATGCCTACTACTAAATTTAGTACTTAGTTATACTATTTTAATTTTGGAAAATAGCTTTTGTCTTTCATTTTATTACCTTACCTTGTGATTTTAACTTTTCCGATGTAGTTCATCAACATCGTATGAATTCATGTGTTTTAGAATAAGATTTTTATTCATTAATTAATTAGGCCTAAGTGTATTTTCAATTTTAATAATATGAAACTTGTTGATTTTTATTACTGTAATTTTGTATCACAAAACAGGACCATGTGAAACTACATCTTCCTGATATGTTATCCTGTATAAATATGTTCAATAAATAAATAAATTGAAATTGAATAAAATATTAATCTCCAACATGAGCGTGTTGACCTGGCCGAATTCTGACCTTGAGTGTTAATGTAGTTGACGTTTCTATTAGGATGATGATAACAATGAACAAAATTGACATGAAAGAAAGAAAACTCCAAAATAAAATTGTTGCGTTGACAAACCTCATTAAAATTAGTATGATGAAGGTCGCTGTTTCAAATAAACGCATCGCGGCGAGGCGGGCGCATGTAACGGATTTTTTTTTTTTTAATAACGATTCGCTTAGCCTGCCAATGACCCAGCAGACGGCGTCAAGCGCCCACAGAGAACGAAACTACTACACTAGTCATTCGACGGACACGGCGCAATATGTCTGGCATCTTGGGTATAGGATATATTTTTTTCTGTTTCTAATTAGTGACCTGGGTTATCCTTCGCTGAGCGTGCAGAACATACCGGCGACACCCCGTGCGTGTCGATCGTCGTCCCACGGTACAAATGGATTGCACGACGCGGCAAAATGGTTTGTCGCGTGTCGTTTCGTGCACATGCCATAGCCTCAAATAGGCTTTAAATTTGCAGGTATCCATTATATTAACAATGATTATAATAGCCAGTTTCCATTAATTTTTAGATATATAAAAATAACCATTTTCATTTTAGGGCATGTTATGATTAACTTTCTATAACAGAATATCGCAATGTTATCATATAGAATTAAATATGAGTAGGGCCTATCCATCATGTTAATTATTCAGCAAATGATTAACTTTCTATTACACTGCACTGTCACCATTTTGTCGAATAGATTTATTCCGAAATTATAAATAATATATTATACGTAAATAATTCAGTACCTAGAATTAACTCTTTTAGTTGATTTGTTGCTATTTCGTCAAATAAACTTGATATGGGCTTATGAATATGTATATTATGTTAATTATTTAACAGATGATCGACTTTTTGATAGATTGTAGCCGTTTTTTTACAAGCCATGCGTGGTTTATGTTTCACAATATGGTGAATAAACCAGACGCCAAAATGTTTTATTTTCAATCTAAATGCAAATTAGTTTTGCATTATAAGTTATTAACCAAAACACTGATCATATTGACGTGTTATTGGAAAACATTGTGGATGAATAAAACAAAGTATTCATAAATTCTGGTATCGTATGACCAATGAGTGATTATTTTTATGGCGTTTAATAATGCGATTGTCTTTCCTTGCCAAGACCATAAACCGTTTAAATTGCGCCCTCTATCAGTTGGATTTGTCTGGTATATCTCGCTACTTAAAAAACACTTTTGTTAAAATTGTATTGTATTGTGAATGCCACTGATTTTAATCCTTAATTATTGCACATAATTTCTGCTCCAAAGGATGATGGTATAGATGCATGAATGAATCAATTCCAATATTATGTCTTGCCACTCCTGATCCTGTGATAACTGAAGAAGCTTTTGCTAACAAGGTGGTTTAGGTAATAATACAGTACTGCAGACTCTGCGTTGAAGTCGTAATTTAGGGTTATGCGATATAAGATATTTAGGCCGTTCCCTCATCTCTCTAAAACTCTAGTGCCAACTAATTTCGTAAAGCCGGTTTTCCACTAGGCGAACTTATTCGCGCGAATCGAAAGCGTCGGTTCATGCACATGCGCATTCACATAGGTCTATCGCGTTTTTGCGAAGCGAAAAAATGCGCAACCAATCAGAGTTCAGAAAGCACCGATGATTTGTTTCGCGCGCGAATAAATTCGCCTAGTGGAAAACAGGCTTCATGCAGACTTTTGACAGTGATTCCGTTAGTTAAAGCCAGGACGCCGGAGGGGAAAATTGATATGTTGGACAACTGAATTATCTAAGACACAATTAAGCATTTTTGACGAAAAGTGGTTAATGAGATACAGATTTTTTTTAATATTTAAAAACTGGGAGAAAAGGGTGGCGTAACCACCATGTTTCCACCTTTTCCCCAAGCTTTTAAATACGAACATCTTCATTAACCGCTCCTGAAGTTTCCGTCAATTATCAGTTGTAAAACATAGTACTACAAGTCATGATACCAGGTAATACTACTCTGTTGCTATCAGCGACATAAAATGATTTCAAGGTGATCCATTTTCTCCACTGACAAACCATTGAACAGAATTTCTAACGTAAGTTTTTCTTTGTAAAATTTAATTGATGGTTAAATTTGTGTTCGATAACTAATATAATGCGAGCTTTTGTATTTTTAGTACATTTTGATGGTAAGTTATTAGGTTTTAAAATACCTATTCCAGAAAGCCTATACCGTAAAACCTCGAATTGAAGCCCACTGGGCTTAATCTCGAAATGATGCCCATCTCGAATTGAAGCCCCCTTTTTTTGTTTGCAGAATTAGCCTCGAAAAAGCCCTTGGGCTTCTTTTCAAGATAGCATAGGCTTCTTTTCGAGATAACAGTCCTATACTGTACGTATATTTCAGAAAACAAAATAAATTAAATACAAGCTTGGATTATACAGTAGTTTAGGTGATTTAAACCAGTTATTAATACACTCCATAATAGAGATATACAGATGGATGTTACAGTGGCCTTATTTATTGTTTTATAGTACAAATTCAGAAAATGTTTACAGCATTGATTTTGAAAAGAAACCCCCCCCCCCTTTTGCAAAAGAAGTCTCGAAAAGAAGCCCATCCAAACTTCGCAAAGAAAAGAAGCCCATGGGTTCAATTCGAGGTTTTACGGTATTCTAAACTATTCTAAAAGATTATTGTAGGCCTCCTCTCAGGTAGTGTTGGTGTTATCTAATTTGGTGGTAGCCACTGTGTGTGCGCTGAACCGTGGTGATCTCTTGGTCCCCGGTTCAATTCCCATCGCTGCCTCACCTTGTGTTTCAGGTAGAGGGCTGAAATACTAGTTGAGAGGTAGTTTAGCTCAGTCGGCTAATCTGGTGGTAGTCACTGTGTGTGCGCTGAACCGTGGAGATCCGGTTCAATTCCCATCGCTGCCTCTCCTTGTGGCCTCTCCTTGTGTTTCAGCTAGAAGGCTGAAATACAAGTTACAATAGCGCACCGTCTTTCGGATGAGACGTTTAAGCCATTGGTCCCGTGTGTATTTATGGCCCATGTGCATGTTAAAGAACACAGTACACTCTTCGGAAAGGAGTAGGGGATTGTCTCCCGGTGTACTGCCCAATCACCACCACAAGGACCCCACTGGAAATAAGTCTTCTTCTAGACTTTCGTGGGCTGTCTTTGGTGTTCACACCGAATAAATCCAATCCAATCTATTTGTTTTCGCTACCGTCTTTATTCGAATACACACCGACTTCGAATAAATCCCCCCCCCCCCTTCAATAATTCCCTACTTTATGTAATGTTTTTGAACTTTTCTATTTAGGCATATGTGTAGAAGAATTACTTTAGACCTATATGATTTAACATAAAGAAGCAACTGTATACAAAACGTTGTTTGAACAATAGATAGTTTTAATAAGATTACATCCATAATGACATATCAAATATTTACAAACACGTTAATGTTTTTTTTTTTTTTTTTTTTTTTTTTTTTTTTTTTGAGACAGTGTTAGGAGTGTGCGTTATTCTTCGCAGTGTGAACAAGGACTTTATGTGTACAGATAAAAGTCCTTAGTGTGAACGCATCTATTTGAAAGGCTGAACCTTAACTCGTTTGAGTGACATAAGTAGTAAAAATACCAAATACTTAAGAGTGATCCTCTTATATCACTAATGGCCATTCTTGTCAATTAATCTTCCTAAAGTATGGGACGCCAAAATGGAAACTTTCAAACACAGTCGATTGCCCTTTTGGCGTTCCATACCAAAAAACCAATGTTTGTGTCACATTATAAGACCGTAAGTTACTATTATTTTTATTATTAGGCCTGTTGAAGGTAAGGTGCCTGAAATGTCCAAGCTTGTTTTTGAATAATCCCAGCCAAACATATGTTGGTTGGTCCCGTGGCTCTACTTTTTCCAAGATCACAAAAAACCATTACTATCGGATGTTTCAAAATAGTATAAACACAACACCTGTCTCTTATACACATCTAGATGTGTATAAGAGACAGCCCCACTGGAAATAAGTCTTCTTCTAGACTTTCGTGGGCTGTCTTTGGTGTTCACACCGAATAAATCCAATCCAATCTATTTGTTTTCGCTACCGTCTTTATTCGAATACACACCGACTTCGAATAAATCCCCCCCCCCCCTTCAATAATTCCCTACTTTATGTAATGTTTTTGAACTTTTCTATTTAGGCATATGTGTAGAAGAATTACTTTAGACCTATATGATTTAACATAAAGAAGCAACTGTATACAAAACATTGTTTGAACAATAGATAGTTTTAATAAGATTACATCCATAATGACATATCAAATATTTACAAACACGTTAATGTTTTTTGTTTGGTTTTTTTTTTTTTTGTTTTTTTTTTATTTCTTCGTTTTTTATTTTGGCAACCTGAACGTTTTCTGTAAGAGAATCTATAGTACTCATTCTGGTAGTATCTATGTATATATTTTTTTCTTAATTTATATTGATGAATATAAAATTTGATACCAAATAGTATATAAAATTACCCCATTATGTTTTATATTTCCAAAACGTACATCGAAATGCATAGTCCAAAGGTATCAAAAAATTTAAAAATCTGTTTTTAAAAAGATCAATTAAAAAAATTAGTCAACTAGAATTGTTATATTTTAAAATTTGTATTAACATTTTGTACTGTAGCTAGCTGTTTTCTTTCCTAATTATTTAGGACATGCTTTCTTGTTGGGGATTTTGAAGGGGATTTCGGCGTCAGATCATGATAATATGTTACTTAAAGTCAACAACTTTGGTTTGAAATAACATTGAATTAATCTGTATTTTACCGTTCCATATAAATTGTTCATATATTCTTTAAATTAACATAAACTCCTCTGAGATTATTAGTATGGTTGACGCTTAGTTAATTCTCTGTATAATTCCTACGTTTGAAATAAATTTGTTATGAAGGAATACTAATTTACGTATGTTACGTACTAACATTATATTTTTAACGTTTAATATTTTTTCTTATTCTATGGCACAATATTTATATAATTATTACAATTAAAAATGATGCACACGGTTTGTAACCCGATTCATCATAGTGAAGATACATAGTACCGCGTGACGGTGCGTGCTGACACGCACAGAAACTGCAATTAACTATGGCGCACTATGCCGTCTGTTATGATCTGCAAATTGGTAAGGAACAGTAAGAATTGTACTTAATTGCCCGGTGTAGATTTTTCTTTGTTCGATTGTGTTTGTGATTGAGTTGAGATGGAAACACATAATCATGAGAATCATGAAATCTGCCTTGCAGTGCAGGTTTGTTTGCTTATGCAGATCTTTATATCGACATCGAGTGCAATTGCTGTCTCACGACTCTACGACAAACGCTATAATTAATGGTTGCATTTCAAACAGCTAGAAATCCGTCATTGCGTATGTGTAAAGCTCAAAATTTCAATTAAATTCTGTAGTACCGGTATTGTTAATGTGAATTTAAAAAATCAAAATATCAAAATTTCAGAAATGTAAAAATCTAAAACATTTAAAATGCTAATTAATAGTCAAAAACCTGCATATACATATACATATCTATACATATGTATATATATATGTATTGTCATAATTCTATTACTTCGTCACAAGAACGACAATAAGAAAGTGTTATTAGTCTACTTGTTAGGAGTGTGCGTTATTCTTCGCAGTGTGAACAAGGACTTTATGTGTACAGATAAAAGTCCTTAGTGTGAACGCATCTATTTGAAAGGCTGAACCTTAACTCGTTTGAGTGACATAAGTAGTAAAAATACCAAATACTTAAGAGTGATCCTCTTATATCACTAATGGCCATTCTTGTCAATTAATCTTCCTAAAGTATGGGACGCCAAAATGGAAACTTTCAAACACAGTCGATTGCCCTTTTGGCGTTCCATACCAAAAAACCAATGTTTGTGTCACATTATAAGACCGTAAGTTACTATTATTTTTATTATTAGGCCTGTTGAAGGTAAGGTGCCTGAAATGTCCAAGCTTGTTTTTGAATAATCCCAGCCAAACATATGTTGGTTGGTCCCGTGGCTCTACTTTTTCCAAGATCACAAAAAACCATTACTATCGGATGTTTCAAAATAGTATAAACACAACACATCTCATAGATTAGCAAATAACTGTGCAAAAAATGGCCCACGCTTGTGTTAATTGACGAACAATATTTACACGTACACCAAAAAAAGAAACAATAAACGTGGACAGTAGTAGAAGAGGTCTTATGTCGCGATACTTCTGCGCTTCAGCGATAGAAAAAGCCCTATGAGGCGATACATTGTGAAATAAGTGGACTTGTGTCATGATCTTGTGACATAAGACCCCTTATGTCGCGATATAGAAGAGTATTATGCCACGATACCTTGCTCTTCACGATACATTGCGATTTTAGAGGCCTTGTCGATATACTGATGCCTTGCGATATAAGAGAACTTATGTCACGATACGTTGCGATATAAGACGCCTTATGTTGCGATACATATTGCAATATAAGAAGCCTTATGCCACAATATTTTGCGAAATAAGCCGTCGCGAAACCTTGCGATAGAAGAGGCTTTTTTTTGCAAATACGCATTGGAAGTAGCGTCAAAGTGACATCTAGGCTCTATTTACATTTTAGACATAGCAGTTCCATCTAACCCCTCTAGCGTCTCTGTCGGCGTCATTAGTTTCAGGTAGCTATGGTTGGCCACGTGACTTGCCAAGAAAAGCACCTAAGGATCAGGTAAACGAAAGAATAAGAAAATTAGTTCATGTATCATAGTATTATGCATAATTATGCCTTACTTTATATATTTGACCATATCAATATGTTTTAATGAATGTCAATAAAGCAAATTTGAAAGTCATTGTCTATATTATAATTGTACAATATTATTAACACTTAGGGCCTATTATCTTTAAATAGTTTTTGAAGACTATCTTAGGAATGTTTAAATTTGTATGATCTATATATATATATATTATTTAAATATAATAAATATCAATATATAATCATACAAATTGAATGATTAGGCCTATAATATATTATTCAAGTAATGACTTTGCATATAAAACCGGACACTCATTGCTTCTCGCGTTCGTTATAACGCAACACCACGACGCGTGCGCGTAACTGATCGTTTTTAATGACGATACGTTTAGATTGCCACCGACAAATCAGCAGACGGCATCGCGTCGTAATGCTCACATAAAGCGGAGTTAGATTCGTCCTACTACGCAGCGTGTGCCCGGCTTATGCATACCGGTATAGGCTTTATCAAACTTTATAACCAATACTAAAAGTTAATGTTTATAATTTTATATTCTTCATTGTTATAAAATGTAGATGAAAGTTAACAGAATGCATACTGTAAATTTTGAAGATTTATTCAAAAATTACAAACACTACTCACGTGCGCGATAACGATAGCGTATGTACTGCATAAGCCACACATCAGGTTGTCGTTCCAGAGATCAATCGCCTACAAAAATAAAACATCCATCAATCCAATGAAACATAATTTAATTTAATTAATGAAAAAACATGCATATGCCTATTCAATGAGCAGTCTGCATATTTAAGTTGTTATCTTCATGTTAATATTCCATGCGTAATTTGCGTGATACCTGCACTTTTAACATGAGATTTATATATTCAATGAGTAATATGAATATTCAGCAGCAAATATGAATATTCAACGCTGAATTTGCATATTCAATTTTTAATATTATATGAACGTTTGTGTATAGGAAGGTTTAATCAGTATGTAAGATGTATGCATATTGAACGTATAATTCAAGTATTGATCTTGCAGTCACTACATTTAACAAGTGATTTGGATACAATAATGTACTACATATATTAATAATAATATAGGCCCATGCATTTGCAATAGGTCATATCCATTCCCATATTTAAATAAAATGTTGGCACTAAATAAAATTTATTATATATTAATTTACCGATTTGCAAAGTCTGGTACCATCTGTGGGGTCAGTGTCTTGGGCGAACCCCATCACCGGACCTGAAATACAACAATACACATATCAATGGCACTGTTAAATATTAATTATTCAGTTAATTTAATTAAATCCACCAACACTTTTTGTCAAACTGGGGGTTTTGTGGCGAAGATAATGATGATGTTGCTCTGTGGTGATGGACACCTCAGGTCGGTCGGAGATGTTTTGACTAATTGTGGAGAGTTGTTTACAGCGCTTCGTAACTAAAAGAAAGGCGCTATACAAGTAACAAGTAATTTAACCGTTAACAATCGACGTACCATACACGTTTAGATCAATGTTGATGATGTTTTTGTTGTCGTCACAGTAGAGTTTGAGCATCAAGACGGCAGCGGCGGCAAAGGTAGCGGTTGCAGCTACGACAAGCCATATCAAGAACATTAGAAATGTGGCACCAATCAACTGAAATTAGCAATTAATTAACAAATCATATATTATGACGTCATTGGAACGTGAAGTTTTAATTTTTCAAAAAATGACTATGCCTGTGGATAATTATATCTGAAATAATAATGTTCATAATAAAACAGGTACGTTAGTGATAGTGATGGTGATGATGAGCATGAAGATGTTGATTTTAATAATGATAAATATGATAATGACGACGATAGCGAGATAGATGACGTTATTGTGCTGAAATTTATGGCAATGATTAGCATCATCATAAAGTTTATATGACGATGTCAGGGAGGCTGAAGATAATGACAGTGGTGATGATTATGGCTATGATGGTAATGATGCATTACATCATACACTCATAGTTACTAACCGTCTCGCATCGTGCGGGACGATCCCGCATTTCAAAGTGATTTTGGATGAAACACGCATTTTGAAGAAACACATGCGTGATCATAAATTTGTCACGCGTTTAGCATAAGTCTATGAGTGATAACGAATTCAGGGGAAAATGTCTTTGAAATTAGAAGAAATTGGTTTTATTAAATATATAAAGAAGGTCATGCAATAGCTGGAGTGAATAGGGAGCTTAAAGTTTATATGACGATGTCAGTGAGGCTGAAGATAATGACAGTGGTGATGATTATGGCTATGATGGTAATGATGCATTACATCATACACTCATAGTTACTAACCGTCTCGCATCGTGCGGGACCATCCCGCATTTCAAAGTGATTTTGGATGAAACACGCATTTTGAAGAAACACATGCGTGATCATAAATTTGTCACGCGTTTAGCATAAGTCTATGAGTGATAACGAATTCAGGGGAAAATGTCTTTGAAATTAGAAGAAATTGGTTTTATTAAATATATAAAGAAGGTCATGCAATAGCTGGAGTCAATAGAGAGCTTTGGTTTTCTGGTTCGAGAATCAATTCAGCAGGGAAAATTTCTATTTTCCCACCATAACAACCAAGCCAACCAGCGGTCTTGCGCGTTCATTGTCACAACCAACCGTTGATGAAACTGGAATCGACCCACACCGGGGTTCCACCCCTAGAAACCCGGGGTCTGACCCCCCTCCAACTTAACTGGTGTAGTCACGCATTTAAAATCTCTCAGGTTGGTAACTATGTAAACTGATTGCACGGTATAATTATGCAATTCCCTACCACATCGGTCCAGAATAGTCCACAGCATTTCTTCCACTTGCCGATGCAGTACTTAAGTCGTGTCGGACCAGTCTCCAAGAAAGCGACAACAATACCAATTGCAACAAACACGGCCGTCACGATGATCAGGTAGAGTGTTCCTTTTTCGATATAATCAATGCTTAAATTGGGGAACAAAAGAAGCAATTTAAATAGAAATAATAATATATAAATTAGTTAATAATAATAGATAGGGCCTAATTGTATTAGGCCTATTAGACGAATAAATTGTTTCATGGCATCATGAACCCTCACATTTTACTCTCATCTTCTGTAAGTCTTGTGTCCGAAATATTGAACTTCTTTTGATAAACGTCCGCCGCATTCTGGATTTTAATTCCCAGTAAAATAGACGCAGCTACAAAAATAACTCCGGCTAGCAACGACAGGTACGGGATTCTCCGCAGGCACAGGCAAAAACGACCGCAATCAACTACAGGAGGCAATAAAGCGGTATTAGTAATACGTAGTAGATACCGGCACAGTATCGTAAATGCTCGAATAAGCGCCGTAGCGCTTATAAAATTGTTGGAGATTTCAGTGCGTCGGTTATAAAACGAAATATTGGCGTGGCGCTTTCTATGCCCGTTCCCATGTTAACTATCTCACGTATTCCCGTAGTTCAGTAGGCCTATCATAGGTCCTACGTCATCGTAAATAAACGTTTATAAAAAAGAATGTTTGGTTATTCATTTAAATACTGTATACATTGTATGAAAATCCTGTTTCTCAAAGGGTACACACAGGGTAACATACTCTCGATTTGAGAGCGGCGCTTAGCTATAGCGAAAAAAAAAAATTCAGGATTGGTGCGGCGCTTATTCGAGCATTTACGGTATGTATTAATTCAGTGGAATTTGCCAGATTATAAATAATATGAATAGTGCCAATGCAGGCTATTGATGTTATCCCAGCTTACTAAAACACTGTCCAGACTATCAAATTGTGTTTAACAATGCCTAAATATGGTATGATGATATCACATCTTGACCATATAAGGCACATAATAACTATATTTGGGCATACAACCGTTTTTTTTCTTTTTTTTTGTCCAAAAAAAAAAATGCGATAGTACTGTATAGACCGAGCATCAGTTGTGTCTTTTGGTGATATAAAAAATATCGTCAGTGGCCAAATATTGTTATTATTATTATTATTGAAATTATAATAACAACAATTATTAATAATATTATCATCAATGATATAAAAGGTGACCTCATATATTAATATCATTATATCATATAAAATATTTAATATTATTATTATTGATATTGTCATTGTTAATGTTGTTGTAAGCAAGGTAAAACACTATCCCATGACACGCCATGCTAGAACCAGTGCAGGGTTGCTATGAATAACAGTGGAGTGGCATGGCATCACTTAAAGTATTAACGACACGGTCAATCCGCTGTCTTAATTAAAGCAATGGATAGTAAAAGTTAAATTGATTGATAAGCAACTCGGTAATGAACATCGCAATAAACAACAGTGATAAAAGGTAGAATAGACGAGAACGCATTCTAAACACTGTTAATATAGCCTTTCGAAGTTTAAACAGTGCATAAAATTGTATATAATTTATTTAAGGCCTATATAATGTCCAATATTATTATTAGATACAAGTCATACCATTTATTATAGTACCGGTACCTATACTAAATAATAGGTATAGTCTTTTTAATATATTTTAAAATAAAATTAAATGTTATAATTGTTCATATATGTTTGTTTATTTAGGTAAATTATTATTATTCAACAAAACAGACGAAACATTAGTACTGCTTCTATTTAAAGAAGTTCGTAGTAATAATAATAATAATAATAATAATAATAATAATAATAACAATAATTCGGATTTGTAAAGTGCAAAATACATAGGTCTCTATGCGCTAGAAAAATTAAAATAAACTAAAGTATGTACAGTAAATATAAGTGGCCAACAGTTTGGTTTATGACTTATTGTGTTCTAACTAAATGATCTGGGTCTAATAAGGAATCATCCAATGTTAGGTAGATGTAAATATTCATATACAAATTAACTACCGTAATTCTAACCGGAACGTGTTATTCAATAGAATACGCGCATGTCCCGCGAACAGACAAGTTTTATTAAAGCGCACACTGCGTCGTACGACCCTCGGCTGCCGGATGCAACTCCGCTCTCTGTGAGCAATGTGAGCATTAAGCTCTATCCACACTATCAAATTTTCTTTGACAAAAAAATGTGACAAGCCCATATATAGTAATGCTATGCCTATATATGGTCATGGTGTGATGTCATCATGCCCATATATGGGCATATCACACTTTTTTGTCACACAAAATTTGATAGTGTAGACAGAGTTTTAGACGACGTCTATACTGATTGTCGGTGGTGGGCTGATCGTCATTAAAAATAATCCGTTGTGCGTGCGTGTTTACGTACTTTTGATTTGTTGGATTTTTGCAGCAATATTCAACAGGCTGGGCTAAGCGGAACGGTTTATTATACTCCTTTTTAGCTATCGATCATCCTAATGCGATTTAATTACAGTATTAAAATATATACAGAATAATCATTGACTCCATTAAATTAAATTTATTATAGGCTTATTGAAACCTTGTCAAATGACTCGCAAGCTCTGCCTAAAGGATGGCGAGCTCTTCCTAGACCCTTAGATACCTTCTTGGTTTTGAGGCATCTAGCACGGTTGCATTTTTTTCATTAGAAATGACTTTTTTGTATTAAACTTAGCGTCTACATATACTGAAAGTGTTTCGACTGTGTTTGCTGATAAAAGAAGAAAGTTACAAAAGACGGAAGCTTGCTCATTTTGATTAAAATTAAGAGCCCTTAATCAAATAGGACCTACGTGCAGTGAGTACATAATCAACATCTTCACTCTCACTCTCTGTCACGTGACAATAACTGAAAATCAGAGGAGAACTGCATACCAGATTGGCGCTCAATTAATTTTCTCACTGAAGGTATTCACCACAAATAATGCATAAATCGTTTTTCTCTATTTACATTATTAACATTAGTTCTGCTTGGTCTGTCGCTAACTGGAAAAGATAATCTTCTTTAATGTGTGAAGGGATGTATAGCCTACTGTATCGGGTTCATCATTTGTGTTGTCATCAGTGGAACTATTGACATTACGAACATCAATATTTCATTATTTACTTGTACATTCATTAATTTATATAACCATCATTTATCAGCGTCATCTTCACTATTTCCGTCACCATCACCATCTTATTATCTTCCTTATTATCATAATCTTCATTATCTTATTCCTCTTCATCTTCTTATCATCATCATATATTTCACACAATCTTCGGCATTGTCTATGCAACTTCTTCATCATCGTCATCTTTCTCATTATTATCTCTTCACAATCAATATCATTTTGATCATTAGCATTATCATCGTAATCTTTATTTTATTATCATCTTCGTCGTTATCGTTGTATCATTATCTTTATCATCTTCATAATCATCTTCATTTATAGCCATCTGAATGGTCTAGGGGTGATTATTTTATTTTATTTTTTCGTTGTAACGCTTAGTGACTTGATCTTGATCTTGAAATTCCTTTTCAGTCCTTCAACCAATCACAGATGAATATGCAGTGATACAAGTGTCGTCATGGTAACTCATCACAATATATTAATTATTTTCTCCATTTGCACCGTATTCAATACAAGCTGTATATTAACATCGAATAAAACATTTTTAAAAATTGCGTAATGATTATTATTATCTTCATTATTAATATTTAGTATCAAACTGGTGGTTTTCTGTAAACAAAATATAATCTAGACCCTAACCATTTTTTTCTATATTTGTATATAAACCTGTTTTCTACATCGTTTTGATATTCAGATCTAGGCCCTATTTTGTAGTTAGCCTAGAGGAGATAATGATAAAATAAGATTAAGGCAGCTCATTATTATAGCACTTGCTTTCAGATAATACATATATTCGATAAAATATCAGAATTGTTATGAATCCATGTGTCACTGTTTAAAATACATATGACAATACACAAGGTGATGTTATGGTAAAGAATGATTAATGGTGTGTTTATACAAAGTTCACTGTAGGCCTACAATATTCTATCCATCCATCTTCAGCCCATTTAGTAAAACACGATGATTCGTGTTCCGTTTGAATTCTATGTAGGTTGCATATACATTAATTACCTAGCCCTGGGCCATTTTCATCATCATATCAACGCTACCTCCATTACAATTCCTGAACTCAACAGTAGGTATGAATATTGATGAGTGTGATGGAGGCGCGGTACTTATTTGGCGTTTATCATTAACCCCATCAGTCCCTGGAGACCAGATCTTTGTTTACCAGGGTTATGTCTTAATTCAACGATAGTCATTGATTATTGCGTAGTTGGGATAAGTAGTAGAGCATATTGAATGATTAGTAGTGGCTTCATGCAACTACTGAAGCGTACAATATATTCGATGATCTACATATTATTAGCCGTATCTTAATGACTTTCTTACGTTTGTATTTTAATCGATGTGGTAGCGTCCAGAGTAAGTTTGATGATGAAGGGATTGAATCCTTATTATTATATATTATTTTATAGCAACGACAGCAATAGATAAAAAATACTGCGTAAACAACATTATAAGTCAGTGTGACGTCATCACTTTAATTTGTACTGAATTTTCTTATTCCCGACTGATCACTAATTCGACATAGTGCCTCGATTTTTGGCGTCTGGTGTGCAAAAAAGCATAGAGGTGAGGTAATTTTACTGCAGTACATCGCGATGAAATATAGTTGCAGACTTCATGAATTGTTTTTAGGAAATAATGGCTCCTTCAGCTTCTATTTCCTATAGGCCCAGTGTACTAAAAACCTAACTGTAATTGCTTAAAAGTGTACGTTGTTGATGAGTGACGATGCGGCTGATTACAGTGAGTAGGCCTATCATGACGATGCGTTTGATTAAAATGAATGACCATGGCGATGCGGCTGATTACGATGAGTAATCATGACGGTGCAGCTGATTGCAATGAGTGATCATGACGATACAGCTTACTGCAATGAGTGATCATGACGATGTGGCTGATAACGATGATTTATCATGACGGTGCAGCTGATTACAATGAGTGATGACGACGATGCGGTACAATGAGTGATCATGACTTTGCGGCTGATTACGATGCGTGATCATGACGGTGCAGCTGATTACAATGAATGATGACGACGATGCGGTACAATGAGTGATCATGACTTTGCGGCTGATTACGATGCGTGATCATGACGGTGCAGCTGATTACAATAAATGATGACGAAGATCCGGTACAATGAGTGATCATGACTACGATGCGGCTGATTACGATGGTGAGTGATCATGACGATGCGGCTGATTACGATGATAAGTGATCATGACGATGCGGCTGATTACAATGAGTGATCATGATGGTGCAGCTGATTACAATGAGTGATACACGACAATGCAGTACCATGATGAGTGATCATGACTATGCGGCTGATTACAATGAGTGATCATGACGATGCAGCTGATTACAGTGAGTGATCATGACGATGCGGTACGGTAAGTGGTCATGTCGATGCGGCTGATTACAATGAGTGATCATGACAATGGGGTACGATGAGTGACTTTTATTTCGGAAAATAAATACAGTATATTGCTGTACAATATTCTCCATAGCTCAAAATTACTTAAATGATTAAATCATGATAAAATAGACTTGCATAGGCTTCATGCCAACAAGGCCTCTATGGCGCTTCACATTTCCACCCGTCATCTAGATCAAACACATGGAACACATACTCAGATCTCTGGGGAGAATTCCATAATGTTGTAGCTGTAACCAGCGCATTTTGTGGTTGAAGCTACAAGGTACCCACGTGTACTCATGGGTGAAGAGAGACAACCGTAGGTATAGACATGTGAATGCGCAGCGAGGGATTGCACCTCCAACCCCCAAGGAAAAGCAGTGCCGCAACCAATGCACTAATATTAATTCCTAAACTGTGCAAAAATAACGAAATACTCTACTGACGCTTACAGCAGGCCTAATAGTGTAATTTTTAAAATAGTACCAGATTAAAATAGGCCTAAATGTATGGGGATCACGCACGTGAAACGTACCGTACTGAATCGAAATACAACACACCACACCATCACTGTGTTTGCGTTGCAGCGATTTGCAAGTTTCCTATAGGCTAACTGTAGCTTTCAATAATACTAGTGTTACCAGTTATTATATTTGTTATTTAAAGACCAATTGTCCTAATCCTGAGCATTTGGAATCATTAGAAATGTATCGATCTGATAATTGTGCGCTAAAATAAATATGGCTGGCAGTGGCGTTTGACATGAAAACCGTTTCCTCAACAACGCAGTAACGGGAGCCAAACAATGCATTTGTTCTTACGATTGAAACTGGAAATAATAAATCGATACAGACGCTGAATCGTCGAGTTTGAATTGAATATATCTGGTTATTTGTAATGCACTACGTTTGGAAAATTATGCATCATAAGGAAAATTAGATACTGAATGCTGGATTGTGATAGAGGAAGCAATATGAATGCAGCAACTCTGCTAGCTAAATGGGAGCAGCCGGAAATTTGAAGTAGATACTGTTAACATACTTTAACACTGGATGATGTGACAATGTTCACTCTCAGTTTTTAAATAATGAAATACCTTAAAATAATAATAATTATAATAATAATAATAATAATAATAATAATAATAATAATAATAATAATTTTTATTATCATCATTATTATTAGGCCCTATTATTATTTTATAATATTATTTTTTTTATTACAGTGATTAAGATATTCATTATTGTCAGAACAGTGTCATGAGATTTGTTTTCCTTATTACACGTGGGTGAAAAATCATAAAAGTACATGAAAATACAGATAAAGTTATCAAACACATAAAAATGTACATACAAAAACAATTGGTGAGTTAAATAATGACGATGATGATATTATGATGACGACGATAACGATCATTACATCATGATGATGACGGTGCTGATGATGCCAATAACAACAATAATTGACGACGATGAAGATAATAAAACGATCATAGCAACGACGATAGCTATATGATAATAACGACGACCAAGGTTTACGATGAAGACGATGCCCGGTTAGCGATGACGATGGTGACTAGATGACGATGTTGCCGATGATGACGGCAATGACCTTAATGATGAGTATCCATTGTTACATCAACTAAGATGCTGAAAATCGTAGTGCAAATCATTATTACTTCTAATATTGATATCTAATATAATCAGTAGATTCGGATACCGTAACGAGATATTCGAATCCTGTGGAATCATGTACCGTATCTATGTCAATTGTAATTGTGATATTGTCAATCTGTATTAGATTTCTTTCATAATGTGTTTTTAAATCACGAAGATACCAGGAATTTTCATTCACGTCTTCAACTACAAAACCAATATTATGCTTCCGCCTCGAAGAAAATAGTTCCAATGTTTAGTAATTAGTTGAGCTTAATTTTACTTAGGCAATGTTGATAGTTGATGATTATTCAAAGTTCAAAAGACGGTCAAGTTAGACATTGTCAATTAATTATGCTGAATCAACATTAAAGGGTTGACACATCCACGGCTGAGGTCAGCCCCGCTACAAATCATTTCAAACACACGTATAATCAAATTATCCTCAATCAAAAAGACCGAAAGAGCACACGCTATGGAAATTGTAATGTCTCCTAAGTTCGCCCAAGCCTGATCTAGTTATGACGTCATCAGTTAAACGCCCCTTTAACGTAAATTTTTGTTGCATATTCAGCCAATGCCTATGGACCAGGTAGTCGCATTAAAACGCGCTCGATGGTAAAAAGCTTGATTGTAATTGGTCGTTGTGCACCACGTCATTTAGACGCGCTCATACGCTTACAATTCTCAAACGTAGTTGGCTGTCGTGTAGCACGCAGCTTCATTCAGACGCTCTCACCATCATTTAGAAAGCCGAGGATAAGGGCTTGAAGTATGATTGAAAGATTTGCTGAGGTTGATTGCGGATAATGCTAGGTTATCTATACATAATGGCCACATTCTGAAGTAATTGAACCGATTTAGTCGCAAAGTATCTGTTAAATTCATTAGCTATGATTATACAGCAACGTGCGCATGAAATTATACCTCTCATTAATATTCATTGATATCAACATTGGTAGGTGATCACCGTTATCAGTAAAGAGTTCTCTGTCATATTATATTATTTGCACTGTGCATTTCGCGGCGTATTGAATGCGGACACAATATGCATTGACATTATTACTGGGCATATTGTACAGTAGAAGTATCGCTACAAGATTCATAGCCTATGCATGCCTTAACATAGGAATGCATTCCTTATTGGCCTGTGTAACTAAAATATACACAGTCTGTCTGTATTTGAATTGATTGAAATCTTTTTTTTTGTAAATATGTAAAAGAAAATGAAATTTATCGTAAAATTAATGGTTATAACAAATCCTTACCGTGTCTCGCTTTGAGTTATGAGGCTGGCCCCCTTTACGTTGAGACTGGACCCCCTTTAATCCACCAGTGGCGGAATAAAGCGGGCCCAGTCGGCCCGGGCCCCCTACATTCCTGGCCTGGATCCGTCACTCCCTATAGGCTGTAACATCCGTCCAATCTCACTATTGACAGATAGCGCGAAACTAAAGTAAGTAGGCCCAGTGGCGGGGACGGGGGGGGGGGCTTAAGCTCCCACCGGACAGGTCAAGCTCCCTCTTCCCCGCCGGACAGAACTCGTCGGGCAGTCAGACCATAAAACATATAAAAATAGGCCCACACCAAGCCAACATTTCTGTCGCAGTCTGAGAGTGCCATTTTCGGCCATCCAGAGGTTGATATTCTTTAAAAAAAATCTCATTTGGGAGGGGGAACCCCTCTCAACCCCTTCCTCCATCTCGAGCCTACGAGCTCAAGTCCCCTTGTCGGACAACTTAGCCCCCCCCCCCAGAAAATATATCCTAGAGCCGCCACTGAGTAGGCCTAATAACTAAAGTATAATGTGGAGTTAGGCCTACTGTACATGCTTACATGTAATACCGGTACCTAAACAAGTGTAATAGGCTCATAGTTAATATATTCGTGTATGTTTTTTATTATGTGTTTACTTACTTGTTTACTTGACGATGCCTGTGAGTCATCTTGTTTATCACTCGTAAAGTTAATTTACGACTGTATGATAAATGGGCCTATGGTATTATAATGCACCACAAACCAGTTGTGCCGTATTTCACTTTCCAATTACGATTTGCATTTGAAAATTGTTCAGATCCTTGAAAGGTTCGTGTTGCTTTGATAAAATGATTATTCACCAGGCAAATGCGATACGCAAGAAGCACAATGGTATACAAAATGAATATTATCCGTGCTGAAAGGCAATGACCATGTAGAGAGAAAGCCTTGCGTTATTGTCCGTGTCAGGTGAGAATGAAAAACGATAAATTTAATGCGAAACGTAATATTATGCAGGTCTTGGTGATGCGGTCCCAGAACATACACGAAAAGATGAACCAGAATTTCATTTCATTATAATTTTTTCTTATTAAAAATGCTAACTGATTGAAATACGTATAGAAACCCATAGAGGATTTAATCATTTTAACCATTAGACTCGTTAATCACAAATGGAGTTTAAAATACTAAAAATAAAAAGGAAGCCACTGCAATGGATCGCAAAACGTAGAATATTGACGCGCGAACAAAGAACATTAATGTCTGTAATATAAATACTTGTGTTGTAGAGTAATTGCTGCCTTAGTTAATCAAATTTCAAGATCATATACTAGGCCTGTTCTTAATCAACTAAACTAAAATAAATACATTTGTTGTTTAATTCTGAGTGCAAACATCGTTGCATAATAATTGAATGTAAACATACTACGTCAAACGCTGAAATGCAAAGTCGTAGCTGTTAAACCGAACTATAGGTCTTTTTAATGATAATTGATAGTCCTACATGTTAATTATTTAGTAATTATTACTAAAAAAATAATAGGCCTACTCACCTCCCATCTTTCTGTTGGTTACGTATATAGTCTGCGCAATGAATCCGGGTACCAACAGGTAATGGTAAGACGAGTGTAGAGACGCGGTTGTGCAGAGACGGTGCATATATTATACGCTTCGTTGAACACAACATCAAACAGAGCTAGCTTCCAGTGGTTCGCGCATAAACACTGTAATTATGAATCCCTGTTTATGGCAATCTCCTTATTGTAATGAAAATAATAATATAGAAATAGTATAGTAATACGAAAACCGCGCCCATTATGATCTCGTATGACGTTGAAACACAAATAATGCATTAGAAGTATCGACCGTGGAAAAAGTTAACCCATTACACTTGGTATTCTTAGTTTATATAAATATAAATATATGATATATGTTGTTTTTAACAATGTTTATAGCCTATTGCCTCATTATGTTAATTGTATTAAATTTATAAAGCGCAAAATACTAAATGTTTCTATGCGCTGTAAAACCAAATATAGAGATCTTTGGAAATGTGGAGGACTAAAAAAAAATATTATAAAGATAAAGTTCCAAGCAAGCCATCACCCAAACCACCGTATGGGAATATGATACGCCCTTGTCGCTAACCAGGATTGATTTAAGTGAACCCTGGTCAGTTACCAACCCTTCAAGACCTCTATTTCAAATGCACGAGCTTGGTTCGCTTTTTGAATTGGGCCTTAGGATGGAGAATTAGATTTACAAGAACGAATATTCAGCGAAGGCAAATGGAAATGCACAAATTCTGATAATCCATTCTTAGCAAAATGTTTTTTTTTACTCGAAAGACAAGGGCAAAGATGGCCTCTGAGTGAGGTTAATCTTTAAATGTCGCTCCTCTGTTAAATTATGAAATGAATACCCCGAAGTGCATTATTGCCAACATATAGATGTCAGTTTTCAAAATGTCAAATGCATGCGCCAGACGATCGATGAATAATGAGGGATGTGTTTACATCCCGCAAATCGAAACTTTATTTACAAATACAATTACTTTCCGGATAGGCCTAAATGCTAGTGGTTAGACACGGTATCAACAAAGAAAGTACGGTATATAAAGGTTGCTATAGTAACCGTTTATCTACACATGATATCGTTATACCTTTTATTTGATCTGATCTATGATATTTTATATTTATTCATACATTTAACCATTCATTTAGCTACTTTACAAATGTGTTATTATTCGTTTGGTCATAATTCATTCGTTTTGGTGGTGATGGTGATGCTGATTTGTCGTCAATCAAGAAACCGATCACCGCGTACAAGCGTTAGTTGGCGTCCTATACTAGCTGCGTAGAGCGTATCGTTTTTTTACGCTCTCAATGAGCGTTGTTGGCTCTCTTGTTCTATTTATACTCTTTGTTATAACCTATAACTGAGAGTGGCTTATGCATAATGCCTAATTAAATGCGTCTGCGTAATTAATCGTTTAATTGACCTGGGAAAATGATTTACCTATGTGCTAAGATGACTAGTGCAGCCATGATGTTATGATAATAAATAACAGGTATTGCTAGATTATGAATTAGATCATCCAGGGTTAGTGATGTTATACGTATGCTAATAAGACGAGATGAAGATGGGTGGGGGTGGGGGAAATGAAATGGGGAGGGGAAGATGATTAGGTGAGGGGACGCTAAGCTCGCAAAATAAGGTGATTTGAGGTAATTTATAACTACTTGAGCATGATTTTTTTCCGGGGGGCGAGTGAGTGGCGCAAGTATATTGCCCCCACCCCTCACCCCTAGATAGGCCACTGAATGTAAGAAGAGTGCATTATTATTAATAAAAGTACTGGGAAATGCTTACTACTTTCGACCCTCCGCCAAAGAGCCAAAGAGGCAGTAAGTTGAAACCTCCGGCGATTAAAATGGCGACGATGCTGACGGATGGTCGTGGAAGATGTACAGAAATTATCGTCATAAGAAATATAACAATAAGATGAATTCCAGTTACAGCATTGGTAGCTATATAATAATATTATTAAAATAATTTTATTCTGTTTATTCTTATGGTTACAACAATGTAGGCCTATTATAACGTTCATGTTTGTTTCAATGAGTAGCACGGCTATTAATTAGATTATTCATCGTAGTCCTATACTAACAGTGCAATGCTATATGTAGGTCCAGTATTATTTTCAATTTTTATTGATTTTTAAAATTATAACATGTAACAATTTTAACCAAGCAACATAAAATGGTATGTTAACGTTGTAAGTAGATATTGGCAGGGAACAGCATTAACGCAGTTGAGGAATATTGGCAACGTTTTGTAATTGTTAAAATTACGTATATTACACACAAAATAAAATTTTGAATACCAAACTACCATTATTATAACTTTTTGTTAGCTAGGAAAGACCAAATGGCGACTTTCATGTTTTAATTTTGACAGAAATATAGATTTTAATTTGGATGTGAATGTGTTTGTAATTTTGTGGATATACTAGTTTAACGCTATTCCTGTATGGGGGCGCTGTGACAGTTAACTGATTTGTTTTTGCTATAAGTGTACGATTTGTGAAAGTTATGTACGGAAGCACCTAAGTGCCATTCGACTTGACGACTTGTCAAGATAATTATGTTGTCAAGTCGACATAATATACATATCATGTCGACATGGCGAGATAGATTATCTTGACAAGTCGACATACTAAAAATGTTTTGTTGTCATGACAAGATAGGTTATCTTGACAAGTCGACATAATAAAAGTTGTATGTTGTCATGGTGAGATAAATTATCGTCAAGTCGAATGGCACTTAGGTGCTTCCGTAGTTATGTACTTTAGAACGATGGAATTAACTTTTTAATGTGTTTGTACTAAAATTAGAATCTAGCGCACACCTTAGTAACAAAGTCGGGCACATTCTGTTTCGTACGACGAATATATATCTTTGAGTGGTAGAAGACACGACACCATCTACTGATTGTCAGTTGCAGTCTAAATGAATCAGTAAAAACTATCCGTTGCGCACGTGCCGTGGCTTTTCGTTCTCCAGAGAATCGCGTTGGCCGACGACTGTTGAGTGAGGTGCCCGGCTTTAATCACAAAATTGAGCAGGGTGCCCTATAATATTGTTTCTTCGTCAACCAATAGTTGACGTCAACTCTTGATGCAAAGCACGGTTTTCATTTATTACCGGCATTAATTCAGACCGACTCAACAAGTGATTGTAATCTATATTTAGTACCGTCGTTATAAAGGTTGCATTTTAAATTGATATTACATCAGTGATTATGTATCCATTTACGTCTGATTCTCCACATGACACAATATATCTTCAAAGATGTGTACCTTCTTTTTCATAAGCCTTGTTTTCAACACCGACGTCCATATCATGGAAATTATCTTCTAAATCTTCAAAATGAGTCTTGTAGATTTGCCGCATTCCGTACGGAACGAAACGCTCGTACAGAATAGCAATCATAAAGATAGACACGATCAGTATCAGGCACATTATGCCGAACGACACGCGTGGACCATTTGCGTCGTAAGTCTGCGAGACAAATATCGGGCCGAGAATTCGGGCAACACTGGCTGCAGCCGTCAGCCATCCCATCATTTTACCCTGAAAAAAATAATTAAAAATGTCGTATTAATACCACTATAATAGGTAGGCCTAAATAGTTAAATAAGCTATTGTTGGAAAAAGAAATTTAGTTAACCCACGCCTCGCCCCACACCGACCCCGGCAGCAGCCAAAAAGTCACCAAAAATGTGATATTATTTAATCCGGCACTCACTACGTCGTACGGTCGGCCTACGAGTGAGCAAGTAAAGCCGGTTTTCCACTAGGCGAATTTATTCGCGCTTCGCAAAATGTCCGATAGGGATGTGAATGCGCATGCGCATGAACCGACGCTTCCGATTCGCGCGAATAAATTCGTCTAGTTAAAGCCCGGTTTCAATAGAATCGCTACACAGTCGCTACAGCGTTTTCACTGCAATCCTTACACTGTGATTTAACTGACCAATCAGCGTTGAAGCCAAATGAGAATCGCGTCGGCCGTCGGGCGCAGTAAGTGCCCGGATTTAGATAAGAAATTAAAATGGTTTTCATGGGGACACCATCATATCAGACCATGTAGGCCTACCCATAGTTACCAACCGCCTCGCATCGTGCGGGACGGTCCCGCACATTTCAAAGTGGTTTTGGATGAAACACGCATTTTGCAGAAACACATGCGTGATCAGAAATTTGTCACGCATTTAGCACAAGTCTATGTTTGATAACGGATTATTACGAATTCATAGGAAAATGTATTTAACATTAGAAGAAATTGGTGTTATTGAAATGAAAACGGTCATACAATAGTTTGAGTCATTAGAGCTTTCGATATCTCGTTCGAGAATCAATTTACCGAGAAAATTTCTCTTTCCCTACCAGTACAACCCAGCCAACTACACAATTAGTAGCATCTAGTAGTCGCGTGCGGTCTTGTGCGTTCCATTTATCACAACCAACCGTTGATTATGTAACTGGAACCTGGGCCTCAAGGGTTCCACCACTGACCCCAGGGGCCCTGCCCCCCCCCCCCACTCAACTGGTGTAGTTCATTTCAAATCTCTCAGGTTTTAAATACCATGACTAGCATCTCCATCACACTCGATTTACCTTCACCACCATCATCATCAACATAACCATCACAGAGGTAGCGCTAGCGGGGGGGGGGGGCCCCCCCGTCGGGGGGAGCTTCCCCCCCCCCCCCCAAACGTCGGGGAGAAAAGGCACAATTCGTCGGGGAGAAAAAAAAAATTATATGTATTTTCTACATATTAGTAGATTCTAAAATCGAATAAATAAGCCTTTGAAACCCCTAAATTGTTAAAATTTCCGAGGGCTTCGCCCCCTGGACCACTTTTAAGGCCTTTTAATCGAAGCTCTACCACGCCCACTTTGCTTTCGTCGGGAAAATCTGACCCCTCGTCGGTGAATCGGCCCCACCGTCGGGCAAATCCTGGCGCCACCCCTGAACCATCATAAACGCCACCATCACCATTTACCAACACCAAACCAACACCACTACAGCCAACCATTATCACCGGTAAATCTGATCAAAACCCTGTCCACACCGTATCAAATTTTCATTGACAAAAACCTGTTGTATGCCCATATGATGTGTCTATGGCAAAGATCTTATAAACACAAGATAGCGTTCTCCTGGATTTACACGTGCAAATTCTGTAATAAGGCATGAATGGCGCCCTCTTGCTAAATTGGAAACTTTTGACCCTTGACCGCTCTGATCTGACCATACAGTACACCGCCTGTGAACAGCAGAACTGGAACCATCTCAGATCCATGGCAACAGATAGGACGCCCTCTTCCAAAACTTATTACTTTTTCTCTTCGGTAATAGCGCATGAATGGCGCCCTCTTGCTAAATGGGAAACTTTTGACAACGGACATAGTATTAGCTTGATATAACCTATTGTAGTTTCCAGAACCTCATGTGACTTAGGTATCATACAATATCTTAGATTTGTAAGCAGGTACTTACGTATCATAAGCAGCAAATATAAACGTTGTAATGCAGAAAAGCAAACAGGTTACCAGTACGGCAACCCAATCTATTAAGTTCTCTTCAGAATCTATAGATGGTGTTAAGTCAGATTCTAAATTTTCAAAGAGAAAAAAGGGTAATTATAGACACCGGTACAGTACATACAACAATTATTTTATTGATTATTTAGGCACCGTGATTACCAATAATGAACTGTATGAATAGTAATTAAACTAAACTAAATAATTTAATAATTAAACTAAACTAAAAACACAAAAATAAAAATAAAGCTCACAGGGAACAGAGTTGGATTCATCGTGCGACGGTCGTACGACGCAGCAAGTGCCCGGCTAAATATTTCACAATATTGATAAATCATTCCACTGATTGAGAGGATCGTTGTTGAAAACTGTCGCGTCGCAGTCTCATGAAATTGCGTTGGCGGACTGCCGACGCCAGCGCAGAGTGCGTCAGCTTTTACTTACGATTTAATTCTTCCTCTTTCTTTGTTTCTCTACTTTCTTCGGCTTCTTCTGCATTTTGATTCAGAGGACAGTCTACGAATCGTAAGGCTAGGAGAATAACATTGAGAATGCCAAGGAAGGCACTCGAGTAAACTGGTGTCGTATACATGTTGAGGGTAAATTGAATGGCCTCCCACGTGACCCCTTCCTCGCCAATCTTGGTGAATGCAGTCTGTAACACTAGAAATATTTAAAAGATTACGAGAGTTTATACATGTATTTATATTTTCATTCATATCAAAAAATATATTTTTACAGTGCCAAAATGGCTAAACATATTAAGAATTTAATGTTTATTTAAGAAAGTAAGCCTATAATACATAGGCCTACTCCAAGTATTGAAATGCACGCCATCGTGTTTGGCATTCAATATATCTACAATTATTAGGCCTATGTCATCATGAGGAATGTTCAGGATCACACAAATGTTTACTAATGTTCAATTTCTGTTAGCAGTTTTCGATTTTATAACGACGGTAAGATCCCAGTACCGGTACGTAATGATGTCACGATTCTGCGCCCTTGGCAACGATAACTTCTGGTTGTCGTCTGAGGACGCAGTTGACTCGAACGTGGACGGTTGCTCAAATCGAAAACCCTTTAAATACTAAGACTGCTGACTGAATCAATTGAACAGTGAATGTGTATAAAGGCTATGTCTATAAACGACGTAAGTGTGTAGATGAGGATAATTAAATTTTTATTTTATTTCATTACTAATTTATCCAACAACTTTTACATAAAACATTGTTTTTTACACTAAAACATAATGACCTTATCATAGGCCACTGCTTATTTGTGATGAAATATAACTTACACGGCCCTGCGATGTAACCCACTGCGATGGCAGCACTTAGCGTGGCTACTGCCTTAGTGCGTTCAGTCATCGTCGTCGCAGCCGACACGTAGGTTCTACCTAAAGCAACATCACCTTCAAATAAAACAAAAATCAATCATGAAACTGAGTAGTGTCCCTTGCGCCTAATAATTTTATTTCTTTATAATTTATATGTAAATAATTCTCCGTAGAATCGCTTCGGCCGACGAGCGTCAAGCACAGTGATTGCTTTTCAGTCACATGGCTCTGGATTCAAACACTGACGACTATTAAAACAGCTCCGTCCTCTTTATTGGTGAGTGTATATGGAATGTGATTGATGACTTTGATGATGATGTTGATAATGGTCGGTAATAATGATGATAACGGTGATATCAATGTCAGATGATGATGATGAGATTGATAGTGATAGCAATTACGACAATCGCAGTTGATTGACCTACCTGCGCCAAGACCAACGAAAAATCGACCAATAACTACCATCGCCTTACCGCCATTAACATTACTCGGCACAGCAGCGTATGCGTAAATTATATTCCCTATGATGGTCAAAACTACTGATATTATCATTGCAATTTTGATGACTTTAAAACGATCTGCCCACCAGCCGAAGAAAAGAGCACCGATACACTGTGCCAGCCCAAACACCGCGATCGTCCAGCCGAGGAATTGCGTTCCTGACGACGAGTCGATCTACAAAGAAACCTAACATTGTTACCGTACACAAGAGAAAACAGTGACAGAAGGGAAACAAGATGAACAAAGAGTATCCAGGAGGGCGGCCGGGGACTTCCTCCCACCCCACCTTCCCCCACCTCTGCACGTAGGGGGATAAAAACAAAATTTGCCTTAGGAGTAAAAGATTATATAAAATTTCTACAGGTTGTGGACTCTGAAATCGGTTAAATACGGCAAGTCTTTCAAACCCATAAATTGTTGGAGTGTCTGGTGGCTGGACTGCCTCTGTCCCACTGAACTGCCATGCTGTGATGTGCATGTGGCGGTACATACATCATCAGATCCAATCAAATGTCATAAGAGAAAAAAAAGGAATGTAATGAAACAATCATGAAGAGCATTGTTAACTTACACTTTGTATATAAGGCCATATAGACGGCAAGACCAAGGAAAAGCCTGAAGGGAAAAAATAATATACAGTTTAAGCAACGACATTACAAACGACGGCGTAAACACGTTCATTGATCTAAAATTTATCATCACCTGATAAAGTAAAGTAAGCAAAATTAGTGACAATGTCAACAAAGTGAGAGGAGACATTTTAAGGGTGTCCCTGGAGGAGAGAACCAATTTTAAATCCAGCCTTTTTTACACCCATTTTTAAAGTATTCAAAAAGGTGATTCTCATTAACTGTTCCCGAGACCGTCATCATTATTGTCATCATCAGTGGCGGATCCAGGTATTGAAAATAGAGGAGGTCCAGGGAGGGATTTTCAGACAAATTGTCCACCCACGTACCTCAGTCCCACGAAGGTAAGAACATTTGTGGCTATGGCACTTCTAGATGCCGGTAGTGTGCCACTCTAAATGCCTGTTTATACTGCAACGATAACGACAACGGTAAAAAGCTAATAAGCAATTGTTCATATAGAAAATAAATGAAATGAGAGAAGTTTTTACGCGAGGACGATTCGATAACAATTCATCGTGTATACGATAACAACATATTTTCATTGTTACTACAGTACTACAATTTTAACTGTTTTCATGATTATGACGTCATCTGATTTGATTTGTCAAAATATTTAGTTATCATATACACGATAAATCATTATCGATTCGTCCTAGTGTAAAAAATCTTTTATTTCTTTTATTTTCTGTATGAACGATTGGTTTTTGGCTTTTTATCATTATCGTTATCGTTGAAAGTATAAACAGGCCTTAAGACTTAAGTTTGAATATAATCGTTTCTCTTCACTTTCCTAATAATTTTGGGGAAAAAATAAAAGGGGGGGGGGGGTGTGGGGACGACTTCTCCCGATTTTTGATATGCCACTGATTATTATTACGATTCATAATAGAAACGACTCCACATACCAGTACTTGAAAGGAACACAGTAAGATAAGTGATGTAGATAGACCGCCAACGTAAGTCGTATTCATCAGGTGTCTCTCCAGTTTCCGCCATCGTCATAGCCCTAATTTACATAAAACGAAATAATAGTATTCCACACATAGGCCTCAATTTGCGCGCGCGACGACGCGACGCTAGAACGGAACCACTCATGCGTGATCGTCCTACCATGCGTCATACGTTCTCTGCGTTCTAGATTCCACGCGACGAGCGAGGAGAGCTTAACGTTCTCGCATGCACAGATGAATTTTAAAGCCCCATTCCCGGCAAAATTTCACTAAAAATGACTTTTTTTTAGAAAATATGCATTTGCATTACACCAATTATTATAGATCATGGAAAAATATTGGCATGAATTTTAGTTTTACGCAAAAGAATAAAAAAAATGAGAAATACAGACTATTTCTCTTAAAATATTACCATTTTCTCCACGAATTCATCGTTACTAGGCAAATTCAGAGGTTGTAGATCGCATCCACTGGAATACTCTCGCTTTTATGT